CGCCTCTGCCCGTGGCTCCAGACGGTGGGAGCCGCGGGGCTGCAGCGCAGATGCCCTCCAATATATTGTGTATTTCTTACACGCTCCTGTGAAAGACAGGCCCGTGTTAAGGTTGCGGCGTTAAACACTCGAGCGGTAGGAAACGCCAGAGGCGAGGGGAGGTCTGTGCTCTGAATTCAGACCCCTTCTGTGCCTCAGCGTTGGGATGCGCGTGTGTTTATCTAGGTCTGGTTGGTTTCTTCACAGGGTACCTGCCTGGCTTGCTATGTCGGCTGCATGGCGGGTGAGAGGTGGCTGTACAGAGTAACAAATGCGGCTGTTTCTTACACAGCTGCTGCCTTGTGAAACCTAAAGATTCAGGTTGTTCAAAACTTACTGCCGCAGCCTCAAACCTCACTCGATTCAAGGCTTCTAACAGCTGCTCTGAGTGTTTGAAGCCTTGGAAATGATACGGACGGTCCATTTCAGGGCTTACTGCCACTGACATCACTCCGCACTTAATGAGCGTTGCTATGTTAACTTTGGATAATTGCATACTCTGGGTAAGCGCATGATTTTTTTTTCAATCCCAAGGCTTTGCACTTAAGCAGAATACATAATCTTTATATACAGCTAATTGATTAAGCAATAGTAGCCTCTTATTAAACGATTACTCTAGTTGCTTTTATTTAAAAATCTGATTTTCCAATTCCGGTTTCCCAATTCCAGTGCCGGTGGGGAGGCGGCATGACCTCTGTAGACCCAGCTCCCCATTGCAGGCTGTATTTCACATTTCCTACAAACATTAAGATAATGGGAACCCTGTGCTTACGTTGGTTTTGTGTGTATTAGAATACAGAAAAAAGATGTGCCATGCAACTGCAATGCAGAGGAGACAAAACGCAAACAGTCTGACACAATGCTGGGAGAAAATCTTGCTTTTTTTTTAACAAGGGGGGTGGTGTGGAATCTTGTTTTAGAAAAATTATTTTCTTTTCTTTGAGGTAAATTCTTGTGTTTACTGTCTTATACCAGTTTGCATGATTTGTTTAGTGCATGTTGATGTACAGTTAGAAGACTATTTCAAAAGCTTTACTATTTTGAAATGGCCAGCAATAGCTTATTTCAGCCCTACATTAAGAATTAACCAAGACTTTCTATGGATGAATGTAGTTAGGTAATACATATAAAAAATAAATGTGGAATGTCTTTAGATGATTTTGTTAAGAAGCTAAACAATAAAGGATACGTTTCAGGTTATACAAAAGCTTGGTTTAGGAAATTTACTTACACAAGTAATTTGGACAATATGGCAGAATGTCAAAAGAACATTCTATTAATTATTTCTTTAATTTTTTCCAAAAGAATATCCTACATTTTTCTATGCAGCAACCCTATGGAGAGTATATTTAACTATTTGTAGCATATATTGCAGGTATTGGTTAATACTTCAGCAGAACTTTTTCTTAGTACAAATTACACAATCATTGGACCATTATATGCAAAGTACTTTCATCAGTTGTGAACATGGAGGTCCATCCTTCTCTGAAAGTCTACGTATAAATTGATAGATAAATCATTATCCAAACAGAAATAAATTGATATTTGACATATGTCCGAAGCAAAACATGAAGTATGCAGACAATTAACAAGTAGCACGTCTCTGGATTCAGAATGCCAAACAAAACCATCAAGTACAGCTTTACTGTAGAAAAAAATTATATCAGTGACAAATAGGGAAATGCATTTAAATTTGGCTTCACTGATCTATGTTGATGCAATTGTGATATAAGGTGTTGTAGATGGAAGTGGCTGAGACATGGGCTTGACACAGTGTCAGTCTGTAAACGGTGAGGCTTTACTTAATAACGAGGTTGAAAAAGGTGTACCATTATCAGCACCATCCAGTAGAAGAAAAAGAGCCTAGAGCTGGTCTCCTGATTTTCCAGCGTAGTGCATGTTTCCTAAGCAAAAGGATATTTTTTATGTAGAAGGAGTTTTCTTAGAGTTCCATTTGGAGGTTACTCTATCGATTTCTGGAATGCAACACAGCGGTAAGTACATGCACTGTACTGATAACATTCTCAGGGTTTTTGCCAAAACATATAGGAAATTACATTTTTAGTAGCCAGCAGCTCTGCAGAATCTGAACAGATTTTCAGGAGGTCAGCAGAAGGATCTACTTTATTTCAGGATCATCTTAATTCCAAATTTCAGAGTCCTGGAAAGGTTGGTGTTAGAGCCCTTCAACAAGGGGTTAAATATTTATTTTTTCTAAAGGAAAGTTAGGCAAAATGAATACAGTTATTACAGGTACTCCTTCTGTTGGAAAAATGCACAATAGTGTATTTACAATTTGTACAAATTTATTTAAAAAAATAGACTGGTAAATGTCTTTTATTTTGTTTTCGGGTTTTGGGGGGTTAGGTAAGGTATGTAAACCAGACTGTCTAGTTTAAGTATTTTATTTTATTTTAAAAGTTTATAATTATGTTTAAACCTGAAATGTTGTACAGTTCTTCCATAAAGTGAATAAAATCAAAAAGGTCATTTGGAAAATATCAGTCTAAGATAAATAAAGATTTTAGCACATGGTTTCTCATAAACCTGTTAATGTATATGGTGTGTGTGATGTTATGGCACTTATGAAAAAACTGGTATCTTAAACTACAGAGTTCTGGTCAGCTACTAATTTCTTTCAAAGATTATACAAAATATCAATCATTAGAAAAATTCCATTCAGAAAGGTCATATTCGTAGTGCTATACATGTATTTAGAGTTTCACCAACATAGCAATAAAATCCATATTTTGGAAAAAAACCAAAAACCTACCAATTAAATTATTAAATATTATAAACAGTATCTTTCACGCGTGCATGCACACACCCACACGCGCGTGTGCACACTTTAAGAATCACTCAGTAATTGCATTCTATCCTGGTACCCAGAGAGTGGTGGTGGACGGGTCTTTTTCGACCTGGAGAGACGTGGGCAGTGGGGTCCCCCAGGGCTTGGGCCTCAGGCCTGCATTGTTCAACATCTTCATCAGTGACTTGGGCGAGGAGGTGAAAAACACCTTGTTCAAATTTGCGGGTGACACTAAGATGTGGGGAGAGGTGGGCACACTAGAAGGGAGGGACAGGATACAACTAGATCTGGACAGGTTACAGGTGAGTGGATGAGAACAGGATGGGTTTCAATACTGACAAGTGCAAGGTACTGCACTTGGGCAGGAAGAGCCAGCAGCAGACCTACAGGCTGGGGAACTCCCTTCTCATCAGTGCAGAGGCAGAAAAGGATCTTGGAGTCATTATTGATGCCACAATGAACATGGGCCGGCAGTGTGGGGACGCGGTCAGGAAGGCCAACCCTACCTTGTCATGCATCCACAGATGCATCTCGAGCAGGTCCAAGGGGGTGATCCTCCCCCTCTACGCAGCACTGGTCAGGCTGCAGTTGGAGTACTGCGTCCAGTTCTGGGCGCTGCACGTCAGGAGGGATGTGGACAGCATGGAGAGGGTCCAGAGGAGGCCACCCGCATGGTCAGGGTCAGCAGGGCAGGCCCTACGAGGAGAGGCTACGGGACCTGAACCTGTTCAGCCTCCACAAGAGAAGGCTGAGAGGGGATCTGGTGGCCGCCTGTAAACTTACCAGGGGGGACCAGCGGGAATTGGGAGAGTCCCTGTTCCCCCGAGCACTACCAGGAGTAACTAGGAATAACAGCCACAAGTTGACTGAGAGCAGGTTCAGGCTGCACATCAGGAGGCACTACTTCATGGTCAGGGCGGCTAGGATCTGGAACCAACTTCCAAGGGAAGTGGTGCTCGCTTCTACCCTGGGGGTCTTCAGAAGGAGGCTGGATAATCACCTGGCTGGGGCTGTTTGACCCCAGTGCTCTTTCCTGTCCAGGGCAGGGGGTCGGACTTGATGATCTGCTCAGGTCCCTTCCGACCCAACCAACTATGCAACTGTTATTGCCTGGTGAGGTGCTGTAATGTAGCCATGTTTGAATCCATTCATAGCATTGGATGAAGTATGTTGTTGCCTACAAAAGCTCGTGCCTCTCAAAACCATTTAATCTCTAAGGTGCCATCCTGCCCTACCTTATATGCTTGTATGGAATTACAGCAAGAAGATCTTTAATTCTGATCTTTAGGGCTAGGTCTTTAGGAGCTTTTGATCTAATTTTTTTCAGAGACAATTATAGAGTACTCTATAAGCAGCAAGGGTTTGTAGTTGCAGCCATGGTGATCAAAGGACGTAGGCAGGCAAGGGCTGGGTTTTTGGTTGTAGCCGTGCCTGCCTATAAGCAGCAAAGTATTGCTTGTGACTCTTAGTACAGCATGTTGTTAATACAGCATGAGTTTGGGTTACAGAAGAGAGCCCAAAGCCTGGCGTAGATTTCTGTGGTTTTTCAGCTGTCTGTCCTTGAATCCTTTGGAAGATAATAAGTTGGTAGCTTTAAGAACTTCTGAAAATCCTAGAAAGAGCTTGGAGGCTGTGGAGGTCCTAAGATGGAAACATTTAACCGAGAATGTATTCTTTTGGTATCTCCTCAGAACAGAGGCGGGCAATTATTTTGGGCGGAGGGCTGCTTACTGAGTTTTGGCAAGCCATCGAGGGCCGCATGACAGGCAGCCCAGGGCAGATTAATATTAATTTTCTAAATTTTTTAGGGGCCCTGCAGGCCGGATAGAATGGCCTGGCGGGCGCATCTGGCCCCCGGGCTGCACTTTGCCCACCCCTGCCTCAGAACTACTGTACAACTTAGGCTGTCAGGTGGCAGTTTACTTTAATCTTAGGTGTCTAGTAGCTCTGTGTTAAAGTATCAGATCAGAATTCTCTGTCTTTTCTTGGCTTGAAACAACCGGTGGGTGGCGAATTGGCTGGAGGGCTGCACCCAGAGAGTCATAGTAGATGGGTCGGTTTCGACCTGGAAGGGCGTGGGCAGTGGGGTCCCGCAGGGCTCGGTCCTTGGACCGATACTCTTCAATGTCTTCATCAGCAACTTGGACGAGGGAGTGAAGTGTACTTTGTCCAAGTTTGCAGAGGACACAAAACTGTGGGAAGAAGTGGGGGGACACGCTGGAGGGCAGGGAACAGCTACAGGCAGACCTGGACAGGTTGGACAAGTGGGCAGAAAACAACAGAATGCAATTCAACAAGGAGAAATGCAAAGTGCTGCACCTAGGGAGGAAAAATGTCCAGCACACCTACAGCCTAGGGAATGACCTGCTGGGGGGCACGGAAGCGGAAAAGGATCTTGGAGTCTTAGTGGACTCCAAGATGAACATGAGTGGGCAGTGTGACGAAGCCATCAGAAGAGCTAACGGCACTTTATCGTGCATCAGCAGATACATGACGAACAGATCCAAGGAGGCGATACTTCCCCTCTATCGGGCGCTGGTCAGACCGCAGTTGGAGTACTGCGTGCACTTCTGGGCACCGCACTTCAAGAGGGATGCGGATAACCTGGAGAGGGTCCAGAGAAGGGCCACTCGTATGGTTAAGGGCCTACAGACCAAGCCCTAC